CAGGGTACCCCATCACTTGGCCGCTCTACCAGCGCTTTTTGGATGTCTCCTGCTGCCAAGAAGCAGCCTGACCATTGAACCACTGAACTTCCAACATTTCTGCCTCTCCGTCAAAAAATTACTACAGGCAGGCCGGTCCACTTGTGGGGAAGCTGTGTCAAGAGCTGATCTGCCCGCTGTTGCTGCTGTCCTCTTCAAGTGCCTACTGTGGTCATTCGTATACCATGAAGTGAGCAGACCATTTCAGGAATCCACCATAGGCCTAAACTGCGCGCCCTCACAGTCTGTCCCACACCAAAAGGATGGTTGCCTCCCATGTGCGGGGACGAGTCCAAAGGCCTATAGACAAAAATCAATCTGGGATCTGATGTGGTAGCCAAATAACAGTTAAAAAGAGTACTCATAAATGCCCCCTTGTCTCCACATATCACATGCTTCGATAACCCGATGAACTGCGGGTGATACAAAGTGTTGGTGGGGTGATGTACATGACCGTTGTAAAAACTGATTGAAAACATTACTATTAATCTGGGTCCATTGTCAAACAAAAGTGTCCTTGGCTGTCTAAATAGATCAAAGATGTCGCACTGGGCTTCCACTGTGGTCTCGGCCGATGCTTCTATCTGCTTCGTTTCCCAGTGGACCACGATCGGTATCACGTAACTCTCCAGCAGTACGGCATAATATAAGCCATGTTCAGCGTTGCCTGGTATCCAGTCAGCTGACCCGAACTTGCACCAGGGACATTTAACAGGACTGGGCACATGTTTCGCACCTTCTTACATGGTCTTAAATGTCTTTGTCAACACCGGGGTACCAGAAGATAGTTTGTGTCAAGCTCTTCATGACTGACCTGCGTGAGGCCCTATGTTGCGCTTTTTGGAGTCCCACAGCGACTAGGGAGAAGGAAGTGACGTCGACAACGCAGCAAGCGCAGATTAAGTGTTGATTGGTGAAAGTCGATGATGGCGAATTTTTGCAGAAGAAAACAAAGCTCACTTTTTCTTTGTTTTCTTCTGCGGAAATTCGTCATCAGCGACTCACCAATCAATATCCCATCTGCGTTTGCTGCGTCTTTAACGTCACTTCCGTCTCCCTAGCCGCCGTGGGAGTCCAAAAAGCGCAACGTAGGGCCCCAGGATAGGTGTCATGGAGCATAGCCTTCTGTATAATGATAATGCCTGCTCAATTGCCAGTTGCCAGCTATCACCACAAGGGTGCGTCGCTTTCCTATACAAGGCAGAAAATGTGAATGAAAATAAGCGCTTCTCGTGCGTTCTTGTATTCTTGGTGCTATTTCTGGCATTTGTCGTGGTACCTGTGGGCAAGAACTTGCCGGGGCTGTCATTTCAAGAGATACTAAGCAACACCCGGGTTCATGGAAAGTGACTAAAGCTTATTTTGAGGAAAGACTGCATCCCAAATTCGACCTCCTATGTACTTAATAGTGCGTTCTAGGCACCTTTTTGTGACGTACATGAAGGAAGGCCTGTCTGGTCCTCCTTCGTGCATTCTGCTGAGGCTCTACTCAAAGCCCAGCTTGGCTCAGGCCTCTCTGGTGTCAAAGCTGGATGAGCCCAAGTACCCTTCCAGGTCCTGTTCTGGTGCTTCTTGACTGGCTCTTACTGTTTACCTACGCACATCTTTCTTGCACTGCTCGAGGTATATAGTGACGGGCGCCTCACAACAGGCACAGTGCGTCATTACGAAACGTGAGCCCCGGCACAGATAACACCTTCCACAGTGCTTACATGACTTCGTAGCAGTTGTTACCCCAGAGGAACCTGGCTGTTGCAATTCCTCTTCACCTTCTGAACTTTAAAGCAAAACCAATTATGCAGCAAAAACAGAGCATGCACCACTTTTCAGAATTTTAGCACGGCTTCTCGGCATCATTGTCGTTGTTGCAATGCTTTGTTTTACAGGAGACTTGTGCGCTTGTGGGTGTTTGGTGAGTGGTGTCACCAATCACCATGAGCCCCGAGCGGGTTCAGACTCCCTGCATGCCTGGCTGTGCTAGGTGTCCCCGCGTCTGATGAAACTGGGGTCTTGGCAGTTGAGCCAAGCCCGGGCTAGGTTTCCTTCAAAGGCCCCCCAGGTTTGGCAACACACCACCCCAGCCCACGCTCCGCACAGAGTGGTGTCCTGTGTTGGCTCGCCCAGGACGATTCGGTCAGTCGCTTTGCTTCACCTCTCCTTTCTTCTGACGTTCTTCTCCATGGTGGCATCACGTGAGATCTGTCTATTAGGATGATTGATGGCAACAATAGATGACTGTTGCCATCTCTGGTTGCGGACACCTGGAGCACTAGTCACGACAGCTGCCTCTGCTCTCTCGGCAAACCCGGTATCTCGGTGTGCCCACGGCAGCCCTCTCCCTTGGTGCGGCATGACTGCTGTACAGCGTGGACGGTGTAATCATCATGCATTCTCTCAGATGCGTGGAGTCTACACCACTAAGAGAGCAACATTTGGCACTGTGGGTGCGCTGGCATAAATGAATGGAGACAAATGTATTTTTTTTTGGTAAGGTATTTGGTGACACTGTCAACTGGTATGCTTGCAGCTAGGCTAGCAATGGCCGTGGTGAGGTGACTCGCATCCCAAATGTCCCAAGATGTCTCTGTCACATTTCAGTGAGTGCGTTGGATGTGCTCGCAAGAATGGGACATTTACAATAAAAATATAGCAATTCATTCAAGATAGATATTAAACATATTTTTAATGAATCTGTATATGCTTGTAGTTACAGGGTCAGAAGGTTAATTGACAACAAGATTTGCTTGCTTTATTTCTTCTAGTTTTGTAATTTATGGTTCTAGGTGCATCAGCAAAAGACATAGGCATAGTTGCATGTTATCACTCCAAAAATTGGGGTTCATACAGCATGAACTAACTGTAATTTTGGATGGTGCTCAAACCAGAAGTAGCATGTTGCTATTTTAGCGGTTGCTGCTCGCGAACTCAAGAGACTGGAATTGCAGCTATTGCGACTTCAAGATGTAACGAGATTTCAGCTGCTCGTCAGACCATGGCCAGGCAGTGGAATGGATCCTTAATCCTTTGGGGGTGCGTGCTTGTTGGTTTAGATCGTGAAACTTCCAGAATTCTCTTTGCCTTGCGATGTCAAAATGTTGAAAAAGATTTTTCGTGTGAAGCCAGCCTAAAAAATCTGTTTGCTACATTGTTACAGGTTTGTCACCCTGTTTTTTTTATAGCAATTTATAACTGCTGTAGGCAACACCGTGGCCCACCGCAGAGCACAGCACCTCATGTGGCAACTACCAGAAAAAAGATGCGAAAGAGGGTTATAAGACAAGGCCCACCATGTAATCGATGCCACCAGCCCAACAACTCACAAGACCACGTATTGTATGCAATAAATTAGTTGTCGTCGTTAACCTGTCTCGACCACGACATGCCGGCAGCGGTGGGATCCAGTGTTGCCCATGAGAAAAACAAAGTCTATATCAAAATCATAGGAGATGAGTGAACATTGCAGTATGCGCTTCTGCTCTTTGTTTGTATTGCAGCCACCAACAGCTTGTCAGCTACCCTTGAATAGACCCTTTTCAAAAGTGTGCACCAGCCATACTATGTTCACCCTGCCGGACCAATCAGCCGCCTCTCTCTTATAACCCAGTGATGTGATTGCTGCGCCATTTGTGCCAAACTGCACCAAAGTGCTTATTCTGCTACACTTGCTACATTTGATCAAAATGTGAGGAATTTGCGCCAACATTGTACCAGAACTTAAAGGCCGACGACCAGACTCGAGATTCTGCAAGGCAGAAGACCCTCCTCTCCACGCCTTCGGGCGAGGGAAGCGAAGGATGGAAAGAAGGGACCAAGAGGGACGGGCGTGGCTGGAAAGGGTAGGAGGGAGAGGAGGAAGCGGGCGAAAAGTGGAAAGCGCGAACTGGTCGTCGGTCTTTAAGTTCAAATAAATAATACTGAAAATATAACAGCTTCAGTCCTCGCTACCGGGGCGACTTGTTAGTGTAGGCTCTTACAGGTTTACAGAACTTTCGATAGTCGCCTCAAATAACATACCATTCGATTTCGCACCAAGCACTGACAGTACTCAGAAGTTTCGCAACAAGTCTCGTGTTCGTGGTCTGTTCTGGTCGGTTAGTTAGCTTGGTTGAGTGCGCTTCTCACCACATAGTGGTGTAATGCAGTGAAGCATCAGTCGCGAACTAGGCGTCGCGATGTTGCATGTGTTTCTTTGCCGCAGCACACCCGCGTACTAAGGGGAAAGGTACTCCTCCAGAGCAAGACTCGGTGCAAGCAGTGGCGTCACTAGTGTCAGCGGCACCGGGGCGGTGGCACCGATCCTCCATCCCCCCCCCCCCCCCCCCCCCCGGCTTCATTGCCCCCTGCCTCTCCTCCCGCTCGTCGCCCGCCGCGACACCTCCTCCAATAACGTATACAGGTGATCTGTATACGTTATTGGCCGTAACTTACCTTCACGTCTTGCAGAGTCACAGAATCCACTTATTTTGCACCGCGACCATGGCAGGGTTCGACTAGGTTCGACAAAGCGTTGGCGCAGCAGACGACAGAGCCGCTGTGGTACAAAGGAGAGACGAAAAAAAGGGCAGACCCTCTCCCCGTGCGCTCGTCGCTCATCCGACGATCCAACTCGGCTAATCGGCTCTGGGGTGCTCGAATGTTGTTGCTATGGTAACCTGCGCCTGCTCGTGTATGACATGTTGTAGTAGGAGGAAAGACGATGGAAGGGGGCGAACCGAGTACTCCCATTAGTCGTCGCGCGGGCTTTTGGGATTTTCGCAAAGGGTCTATTATAAACGTCTTTCTTTTTTTCTTTTTTTACTACGGTTCTTCAGGTAAATGCAAGTAATGCAAGCACAAACATATCAGCGGGATCTAGCTGTGTACCTCTTCATCGGGATATTTAGTTCCTTTTTCACTTTTTCAAGTTCTTTGAGAGGGGAGCTTTACCAGAGTGATTCATGAAAAGACAAGTGCCCACTCACAGGATGCCAGCCCCACGTGCAGAATGTTGACCAACTGAAGGAACACCATGATGCAGTCCACCTGTCCCGAAAGAAATTAAAAGCGCGCTGCTTCATTCCGCGAGGTCGATGTCGACTTCGCGCACAGATCGCCTCGGAGGCCGTTGAGGAATCCACCGTTGTGACAACGCTAGGATCGCGGCGAATCGAAATTACAGAATCACGACGTTGCCAGGACAAAACCTAATTAATTCGCGCTGAACACACCAGTCGAAGATGCGTACCACGCGCCGCAGAGTTTGCACTGAGCCGTTTTATGGACCATCCATCCGACCATGCTGCCAATGAGAGGGTACCGAGGAGCTAACGAGACCTTCGTCTGCTATAGGGTCGTGACCACACAAAACTAGCATTCGGCATCCGACACTCGTCAAATGTGCCGGACGCCGGCACAATACTCGAAGGAGAGAGGTTTTTGGCAGTTTGGTGGGTAATCAACACTCGCTCTGCACGAAGACATCTGAATCGATCCTTCGTGGAACGGGACCCTACTACGTAGAACAGACGTTGCAGAAAATAGGGAAATGTTTATACGCTGGCGTTTCCGCAGGTCACTTTTGTCAAGCATTTTTGAGACGCGGGGCAAAACAATTTCGGAACCGAAAATAAAAAAACCTACTGAAGTCAGCGAGTGCTGTTGCTGCGTCAACATACAAAGAGTTTAATAGCGTTACAAAAGATTATTATAACGACAAAATCTAATAATCGTCTAATACGAAATAAAAAATGGAACCAACACTGGGACCAACACTAATTAAAAAAAAAAAATGTTCCCACGTTGGGAGACGTGTGTATTATTTTTTACGTCAATTTTGATTTTATTTGTAGGGCTTTTGAGCGAACCCAGTCTCCTTTTCTATTGACAACGAGTACTACAAGACGCAATTGCCCTTCTCAATACTGACAAAGCCTGGCAGGTCGTCACGTGACGCGGCTGCCGAAATTGAAAAGGTACAGCGGCACACAAAAGACATGTAACGGACGCCTCGCTGCGGCGAGGCACCGAAACACACTTCTCCCGAGCGATGGAATGTCCGCTCGTGCTTCTCGCGTTCCTCGGGCTACCGCTTCTTTTCTCGTCGGGTTTGAAAACCATGTTTCGGGTCCTCGCCGCTGCAGAAGCTGTGCGCTGAATACCAGAGTCTCCGGAAATGCTCTGCGCTACCAGATCCTCGAGTTCCAAATATGCGACCGGGCGCTCTATGCCTCCGTCATCGAACTGCCAGGCTTTGTGAGTACAAAGGAGGCTATGCCTCAAGCTAACCGCGCTCGTAATGCGTGTCGAACAAGTGGATGGTCAGACTTACCAGGTAGAGGTAGCTGTTGTTGGCACGGTCTCCAGTCACGTTATCGAAGGCGGCCAGCATACCCACCCACAGAACCTGGTAGAGAAAAAGAACAAAATTAATATGTCACGTGCAATCGTAAGATACACTTCCGTCGTGAAAAAAGTAGCGTTATCGCCGATGGTACATCTATTCATAGATGTACATTTTAGGAAGTTAAGGTACAATGCAATAATAGTTATCTTTTTTATGAATGTATCTCGTCGTAGTTGCAGTTGGTCACACAAAACAACAAAGTTATGTTAAAAGTTCTTTTTTTTTAACTTAACGGCGACGAGAAGCGCTGCGATTGTTTATGGTTCATTTTCCGACGCGATAAAGATATTAGGGAGTTTCGTGCCGATGACTCCGATAACGGTACCCGATTTTCCGCCGTGGCCTTCGTGCACGCATCGCAGGGTTAGCGGGGGCGTATTAGGTATTGGAACGATTTACTAAAGCTCTCTATCGGCACATTTGAGTTTGAATTCAGCACTCTATGACAGCGTTCAAAGTAGGCGCAACATGCGGAGTTCATGTCTAAACTGATACGCATGACTCGTCTCACGTCTCATATTGACACGCCTGACTGCGTGCACTAACGTCGAGTCACAACCGCGAGTCATCGGGTCTTCCAGGCTTTCGCATGAAGCGTGGCAAGCAATTCAAGGAGTAACTTAGTACGGGACATGGAAAGCATGGATGTCCCGCGACTGTCAAGAAAATACACATATCAGAATTGCGTTTTCAGATAAGATCGAACAACAATGTCCGATGACCATTTCTAATTTTGATGAAAAAACATTTTGCTGGCTCCATGCCGAGAAAAATAAAACCAATCCTTGTTTTCAAAAAAAAAAAAAAGTTTGTCTTTGCGGGAAAAATTTGTAAGCACCCTCTTAGTCACGTACGCGTTTTGCGTATCGCGCGATGTTGACATTTTCAGCGGCTCCCCCCAAAAAAAACTGTTCTGGCTACGGGTATAAAATATATACTGACAATTTAGGCAGAGAAAGGATCGACAAAAATAATTGATCATTAAGTATTAGGGCTGTCATTTTGAGAAAAAAAAAATCGCGAACACGGCACATTGCCCAATAACTCTCAGGATCGAAGATTTTTTTTCTACGTATCTCTAAAAGCTAAAGTTTTCAAACTTTACCAGTATGTTGCCCTGTATATAGTGCACCTTTGCGTAAAATATTGTTGTCCTGGTTAGCGGGAAAACTTTACAGGAATCGGCTCACACAGCGGCATTTAACTAAATAAGCATTACTTTGAAAATCATTAAAAAAAAAGTCCATTTTTAACATTCTTCAAACTTTCTGCAATTGACCTTTTCAACATGTACTAACAGAGTATGCAAAAACATAATGCAATATTTGTGTGTCTTTGAAGTTATAAAGCGAGAAATATGGCCAAATTGACGTTAACGCGGTTGCCATAAATGGGGCGTGCACATACCCGTTCTTAACAATTTCATTGTTATTAGAAAGCGTAAAAATGCTACGGGGTGTCAGGAAAAGACAAATTGACAGCGCAAAGTTGGGCGATAGTTTTGAAGAGAAAATTCCTAATACATTTTCGTACAACCGAAAAAAAATGTCCATGGGCCGGAGCTATCGAGGTGCGCCACCCTGCATGTAACATGCTTCGCGGTGCCTGTTTCAACAGCCGGCGTATAGCGCCTCTGTCTACGCGACGTAAAGGAAGCAACCGGAGTGACTTTGCAAAGAGATCAGCGTACAGCCTTGGCGGTAACATGATATAGAGGTAGGGCGCGGCAGAACCTGAACCTGCGCCGCCTGTGAGCGCCAATAGATCCGTCGCCGTGGAGGGCCGCACAACGCGTAGAGAATAAAGATACTTAAAAAAAAAAAAGAATTTCGATTGAGTGAGATTGTTTGTAATTTAATTTATATGACAACGGTTTGGAGAATCGTGAAATCCAATTTGTGTAGGCTCATGTGACCTACGTCAGCGATGGTGCAGCAAGCCACTTTAAAAACAAGTATACCAACTACAGGAGCAGCAGAGCAACAAGTACACGCCAGCGAAGTGCATTTTTTCCGCAACTGGACATGGCAAGAGTGCCTCCGCTAGAATCGGGAGTCGTGTCAAGCACCAGGCAACGTTGTACAAACTCCGACGGCTCCCCACGTCGGTGATCAAGTCGGCGTCAGAGATGGTTGCCCCACCGAACACTTAACTGCCGAACGAAAACTAATCGACCTCCCGAAAGCTGACGCCAAAGCGTTCAGGGGCATGAAAGCAAAGGAGTGGGACTCTATCTGTTGTGCGTGGAATGCAGTCCTGTCACTTGTGGCAGTGCACGCGGTCCCACATTTCGCAACCACAGCTGTTTTAGCACGAGCAGTAGGCGCAGAAAAGATATATATTCTAAAGTGAAGTCTCCTACGGCTGCGAAAAGCAGATCGATGTCGCGAGCTTGCGGTGCCACTGAGAAGAAATGAACAGTGATCGCTATAGGAAAAACGGGGGAAAAAATGTTCCTCCTCGGAGTGCCAGGAGAGCTCCGTGACCGACTTAGGTCAGCGTCCGGCAGAAAGAATGCACGCGACAACCGCCGAATGTGCACAAATGATCTTGATTCATTAAACTTTTTTTCAATTGTACTACTTTAAACATGCGTTCTTTCTTAACACTATTTAAACCTGGTCGTCAACAGCCCAGCCTCCTTACGAAGGGTAGGCTCCGAAATTCACTGCTTGGAGAAATCTGTATTTAAATTGCTGACTTGTGCTTCAAACTCAACTGTAATCTTTTGATGTGAATTCTTATTTTTCACGAACTCCTGTCACAGTACTTTTTCTTCACAGATTTACTACATTTCTCGACCCCTTTCTTGCCCTTGTTTGAAATCGGCAACGTCCAATATTTCTCTACTCCCGTTACAGCAATTCTGTAGATTTAGCGCTCTGTAAAATAAATAAAATAATATCGCAAAGCATTTTTTGAAGGGCCTTATAGAACAGATTATGAGCCTTGATCTGTGAAAACTAGAAGAAAATTTAAGATGGCCTTCATTTTAAACTGATTTTCCAATTATTGCAAAATCTGTAACCTTTCTACATTCTAGTGTATCGTTTTCAATTTCAATGGCAATTTAGGCGAATATAGAGCAAACGCGTCCATATCTTATTATACAATTTGAATTTCCAGTCTTTTAATATCCGGGTCCACAAAGCTCCGAATCGCTTCGTAATCGAAAATGCATTTTTACCCTTTTATTTTATGCACAGTCTCTGGACAAAAACATATCAAAGCTAAGGCGACAACAGTTTTTCGTTTATAAATATCCAGAAGGCCGATTTCACGCAAGTTGCAAAAACGTGCGCGTGTACCGACAGCGAATTAGTAATTTTGTTCCTCAGAGGAATTTTACTTCCAGCAAAAAAGTTCGATTATGTTTTTGCGCTTGCACAATAAGTAAAATATATATTTTGGTAAATATTTAAAAAAAAAAAAAAATGTCGACCGGAAATGATCGTTCGATCTTATCTGAAAACGCCCCAATACAGAGAATCTCTGTAAATCGGATTTTTTTTCTTTTTTTAAGTATCTTTATCTTTTAAGCGTTGTGTGGCGCAGAGAGAGAGAGAGAGTTTGGGGGTTTATGGCGCAATAGCTACGAGGCCATCTGCGCCAAACTAATTTTAGGTTTCATTGTACTATAAAGTGGGTTTTAAAAACGGATAATCAAAAAGCTAAAATCGCTGTAAAAGGCCAACACTACCAAAAAATTCTATTATTCGTTCAAAAGAGACCAGAGGATTCTCTCCCAGAAGGAGAGCAGGATGAAATGGAATATGATATTGAAAAAATTCAGGGAAATGAATGCGGCGCTTGGGCTCAAGGCCTGGGCACAACCACAAGATATTCAAAACAGTGAGCCTATCACCACACTGACCGCAGACTGGTGGATCTTCTCCCGAAAGCAGATACCTGGGTTATAAATGAGTGTCCGATTCTCAAACGGCACAACAACGTTTCATGACGTCGGCTCTAGCATGAAGAGCTTTCCCAAATTCCCAAAGCCGGTTTGGCAACATGAAGCTTGTTATCGCACTTCATGTCCCATTCCAATTGCCAAGAATGAAGAATCGAGGACTTCACCAAGGGCTTAATATCTTGATAGGGTAAACAGGACAGAGAATGTGGAAGGTTACCGGCACACCCTGCAAGCTTGTCGGCTTCTTCATTGCCTTGTATGCCAATGTGACTGGGTACCCAACAAAATTTTATATTCTGGCCTCCATGCAAAGCAGAGTTAAGTTTATATCGAATCTGCTGTACAAGCATATTTTTAGTGTCTTTAAGAGAGCAAACTGCAAGAATCACACTTTGAGAGTCAACAAACAGGACTGCCCTCAGTATTTTCCTATTAATAATGCATTCGATCGCCATTGATACCGCATAGAGCTCCGGAGTAAAAATGCTGGCAATACAGTCAAGTCGTTGAACCTTGGAGAAGCCTTCAGAATACACAGCGCAACCGACAAAAAAGGAAGTCTTGGCACCATCTGTATAAACATGATGATAACCATCCTACTTAGTTTGCAGTTCACCAAACTCTTGCTTAATTACAGCATGGGAAATGCCATGCTTGTTAAACTTCGCGAGAGACCAGTCGGATTCAACTCGCTGTGCTTTCCGAAGTGGAATACCATTGGCTTTCTTAACAAGGCCGACCTGGTCCAGAGGAAGGTGCAGAGAATTGCGAAGATGTTCAATACGGAAGCTTAAGGGTGTCACAATGCTTGGTTTATTTTCAGAAAGGCGAAAGTACCTTGACCTTGTAAGTGAAGAGTAAGTCGGATGCTGGGGGTCGGCCAGAATCTTGTAAGCATATGTTAGACTAAGATATCTACATCGTTTGTTCAGGGACAGCTCATTAGATTCTGCATACAAACTGAGGACGGGCGACGTCCGGAAGGCTCCTGTTGCCAGTCGCAAGCCAAGGTGGTGAACTGGGTCCAACATTTTAAGGGCAGAGGGCCGAGCCGATCCATACACTACTGCACCGTAGTCAAGAC